TTGTTTTTATGTATTTGATGGTGTTTTTTTGCAGTATTATGTTGTCTTACTTGATTTTCTAACACAAATCTTTCAGGAGGCAAATGTATTTTTTTATATAAAAGGTCGTTCTGATTTTGTGTGTGTGAACATAACCATTCCACTCCTTTCCTTTTTGTCTTTGGCTCGCTGATTATTATTTTCCAAATTTAGAATTGAATGCGCCTAGTTTTTGGGGCTATTATTGTGGGGGTTTTTTTTTTTTTTTAATTATTTGGTTAGAGAGAAATGTCCTAAAAAGATTGAAAAAAGCTTTGATGACTGAAACTGTTTTCGCGGGCTTCAGTTAGAGCGATCCTAAAACGTATTCTTGATTGTTTGCCAAACAGGTATTTGTTTACCGTAGCCTCACCTCCACAAGAGCCCAATGCAGAGATTATTTTACTAGGCCTAGGTTCTGTGGGACCTTGAATGGCTTAGTACATAAGCACGTGATCTGAGTTGCTGGCCTCAGAAATGATCTCAGTATTCCAGCAAATCCGGTAACAGTATTTAAACATTTGTGATAGTAGAAAATAGTACCTTTAGCTGCTCGTTTCGTGTCTTCTGTGCTCTTATTATTTCTCCTCCTTCTCGTCCTCTTCTTCCTCCTCCTCTATCTTCTTCTGATTCTTCTTCTCCTTCACGTGCCCTGTCATATTGCCAAGATATCTGTTTATTTAGTGGTGTATATTTGTAGTTTCCAAGCTGGAGAGACAGACGGACATATTGAGAGACTGACAGATAAACGTATAGATATACGGATAATTGGAATGACGGATAAATTGACGGATGGACGGACGGATGAACGGAAGGACGTACAGACGAATGAACGAAGGGACGGAGAGACAGAAGAACGGACGGACGGAGAGACAGACGGACGGACGGACAGACAGACGGACAGACAGACAGATAGACAGACAGAGGGATGGATGGACAGACAGACGGAGACAGACAGACAGACAGTCAGACAGACAATTAGCATTTGTTTATTTTGTTTCTTTTCCATATTGTTAATAACTTTTTTCTTCTTCTGTTTTATATCTTAGCAGACAACAGCGATGGATTTGACTACCATACTAATAGCCAGTGCCATTCTTCTACTTCTCTACGTATTTTTGCGTAAGCCGGACCCAAGACTGCCACCTTTTCCTAGTCGCCCCCTGCCTCTGCTAGGAAACATTCTCTCCCTGGAACCCGACTTTCGTCCACAGTTCTGGAAACTACGTGAGAAATTTGGTGACATCTTCAGGTAAGTCTTTTACATTACCCATTTTATGATTTCTTTTGTTTGAAATGTTTATTCTTCGTTTTACTTGCATGAAACCGCACACTCGTTCTCGTTGATTTTTTACAGGAATGAATTTTCTTTGTTAATATTCATAGTCATGTGACGCTCTTTCAGTCGAATGATTGGATTTTGATCAGAATAAGCTGTTTGTTTAATTCGTTTAAAGTGCATTAGTAAAATACAAACAATCTTGATTTCTAGATCTCTTTGTGGAATAGTGATTAAAGCACCCGCCCTGTGCTGCAGACGTATATGTTTAATTCCCAATTATTATTTGGGCTAAAAAGGGGGAGGAGGTGCAGGAGTGGGAGTGCAGTGTATCAACCAGTATTTCTCCGGGGTCGACTCCCTCTTCTAAAATGTCTATTAAACAAGTTTCAGTTTATTAAAGCTGTGTTCGTGTCTGGATTATGCTGCCAGTGTCGGACATAATTATAGAAAATCTCAGTATGTGAGATGAGATGTATATGAAATGCTGCTGGTAAGACAAGGGGAGTTAGAAAAGAATATCAACGACTGGGAGAAAATTTTAGTATGAAAATAGCCTGTTATAACATGGACCATTAAAAAATAATGAAATGTTTCAGCGTTCGGTTAGGAAATAAATGCAAAAGGGTTGAAAAAAGACATTAAGGAAATTAAATTTTACAATAATCTGCATGTCTTGAAATCATAAAACGACATTCATATCCTTTCTCCAGTGCTTCGTGTCACAAGCAGCAGGAAGATGTCGCTTGAAAAGCTGCAACCACCCCTTCACTTTAAACTAATCTTGACCCTGCTATGGGAGAAAAGGGTCCAGGAATGAGCTAGTTATCACACATGATAATGTGGTAACTTATTATCCAGTGAAACTAAATGGGTGATCCCAGCAGACCGGCACATGTCGCGTCCGTAGGAAAACGTTCTCACAGTAAAGATCAGCTATGGATCTATGAACTAAAGGATCGATTAAACAAAGAATCGATGAATCAAAGGATACGATGAACCAAAGAATCGATTAATCAAAACATTGATTACCAAAAATATACGACGAACCTAATGATGGATGAATGAACCAAAGGATCGATGAACCAAAAGATCGATTAACCAAAAGATAAGATGGACCAAAGGAGACGATGAACAAAAAGATGGATGGACTAAAAGATGGATGAACCAAAGGAAACATGAACTAAAAGATGGATGAAACAAAGGATCCATGAACCAAAGGATGGATAAAACAAACGATAGATGAATCAAAAGATAGATGAACCAAAGGATACTATGAGCTAAATGATACGATGAACCAAATGGTGGGTGAACTAATGGATCAATGAACCAAAGGAACAATAAACGATCAACAAAACAAAGGATACGATAAGCCAAAGGATACGATTAAAGAAAGAATAAAGAACATTAGGATTGATAAACGAAAAGATCAATGAACAAAAGGATCGATGAACCCGTGGATCGAAAAACCTAAGGATTGATGAACAAAAGGATCAATGAACCAACCATCCTCTATATCAGTGCCTAACAACTTTGGGAGAGTGTGTGTCAAAAGAAGTGAACCCATGTTTAAATATTTGCAAATCGAATCCGCGCAACAGGACACTGTGATACGGGAATCGCGCCTTGGGCAGGCACGCCACCAGAGAGTACAAGGAACGTGAATGGGCTGAAACATTCAGAGACAACGCCGATCGGAAAACTCCTATTGTGTTCGCTCCTCCGCTGAATTTGTGTTACATAGCAAGATGTTGGTGATTATTTAGTTGCTTCTCCCGTTTCGGTGCCAGCCTCTACCTGAAAAGGGGGGGGGGGGGGGGCACATATAGTTAGATTGCTTTCCTAAAAATCATGTCGTATTATTCAACTAATTAGGAGTTTCTTTCAGTCGGAGTGCATCTGCCTGAGAGGCAAGGAACTGTCTCTGTACAAATAATCCAGATCTGTAGAACAGACGTGCACGCAAAACTCAAGTACTTGAACAAGAGAAAAGACCGAAGTGTGATGAAAAACCAGAACTTTTTGCAGGAATTTACAGTCGCTGGACGCGCAAAAAAAAAAGGGGGGGGGGGCGGGGGACATTCTGTTGCCTCTGATTCGACTAACTGCTACACTTGACTGCTTGGGGTGTAAGTTTCAATTGTCTTATCTGTAGTGCATTTCGACTACTATCTCAAACAGACATGCTATGTTTACTGTGATTTTGAAAACATTATTAGCTTTGCAAATGTCTGTCCCGCAGCTTGTACATGGGAGGGACTTTGGTGGTTGTCCTCAACGGGTATGACGTGATAAAGGAAGCTCTGGTGAAGAAAGCGGACGTTTTTTCAGACAGACCGTCATTTTTCGGTGACCTGGTAGGTATATCCTCATTGTTGAGTATTCTGCTTAATAAACAATCAGCTATTGCCGTGGTTTGTTGATGTATAGAACGTTTGAGGCTGTCCGATCGTTTCTTCTTTTTCTTTTTTTTCGTTCTAACGGAAGGTCCCGGTTAATTGTCCGCTTAAACTTTTGCCTTTTACCTGGACCTGAGTTTTGCGTGTACAACCGTTTTACTGGCTTATGCCGTTCTCTACCTCACAGGCAGATGTACTCCGACTTCGAGGAAAGTCGTCAGGCCTATTTCTAGGATGGGTGTGGCCATTTTTGTGTGTGGGTCGAGGTGTTACCTGATTTGTGTGGTGTCCTCTTTGTCCCTTTCTTTACAGGTGTTGCCCCCGGAGTACCTTCTTTGGGGCAGCCCTGTGTGGAACGGTTAGCCCTTAAGGGAAGGCAGGAACATATCATGGGCTCCAGTCATTTCATTCCGCGAGGCCTGTAACGGGGACACCGCCGGCGGAGAAACGTTGATAAAAGCTACACCTTGAGTAGGAAAGAGCACTCTGCGGGAGAGCTGGCGAGAGACCCAGTGTCTACCAGGCAGAAGGTTACAGCAGCCACGTTCGGCTACAGACCTGCTACCCGGTACAAAGGAAAGAAATATCAGCCGTTTAAATATTGGTGTCGCTGGTTAATAAAACTACATTTTTAACCACATATAGCACAATTATCCAGGTTTGACTATCAAGCAGATGCCGGATCCATTGGTTGCTTTAGATATCCTTCACATTTTTAGACTGCAGTTCGTCATCTTTTGTCCTCCCAGTTGCATTGTTGCCTATCTCTTGCTTTACTGCTTTTGACTTTTTTTCCCCCTCTGTAGTACCGTTTTCAAATGAGTTCTATGTCCTCAATGTATCCATTGTTTCTGTTTCATGTCCGTCAGTACCTTTTCTTTGCTAGTTTCTCTAGCATCAGTGTATTTGCTTCCACGAAAACCGATTTATTCTTCTATAAATCCACATCTCCAGAGAATCAATAAAGCCGTAACCCTCTATTCGTCTCCAGGGCCCTAATATAACTTCATGGTTGGACCAGGTTTCTAGGACTTACGCCCGGGTGATTCCCATCGGAATGGTGGTACTTTGCGTCACCGGCTGTTTATCGCTCTTTAAAATGTGACAGAAGTGGCTTTTTAACTAATTGCTTCACATTCCCTGCCTTGAAGATGTTAACTGTGCCGTTAAAGAGAAATAACTTACTGCCACTTTAGCTGAACAAATTCAAGGAACTCAACTCACGTAATTCTCCGTGTTAACAACTATCGGTACGATCGTTAAGTAAACGTCAACAGGCAAATATAAAGTTGTGTGGAATTAACCTCTATTTCTGTAAAGCAAATATAATCCATTCATCATCACTATCATTTTTGTTTTCTGCAACATTGACGTCTGAGTTTGGAAAATCATGCACCATGAGCCACCGCTTTCCTTTTTCCCGTCTGGTTCCTGACCATGTGCTTCATATCACTGCAATAATTGGACTTTTATTATCCGTTACTTACGTCCTTTTCAGGACGTAATTTTTTATTTTTTTTGAAGCCATACTCTGGCTTTTGCCAGGGGCCGCAATATAGGCAGGCCATCAATATGGCCAATTGTCTGAACGCGGTTTCTGGGACCTCTCCACGGTGATCCTCATCCGCATGGTGGCACTTTGTGTCATCGGGTGTTTAACGCTTGTGTGATGTCCTGGTGGGGTAGAAAGTCAGTCAGTCCGACTGCAATAACGTTATTACACACATCCCCTCGGGGGATACAGTTTTTCGTTGTTTTGAAGCCCCGCCCTGGCTCTTACAAATATATGATATACTGGCCTGTGACATTAAATGGCCGTGTGGTTCCTCACCCTCTATTTCAAATCATTGCAAAGATCGTGACAAGCATCAATGCATCCTTGTTTCAATTCTGAAGAAAGCTGGCTTGGAAACCACTTTGCATACACTTTGTCCTACTCCAATTCCAATTCCAGTTGTCCAACAAAAATTTCAAACTTGATCCTTTTTCAGCTCCCCGGAGGCCTGCTATATAAAGGAAGGTTCCTTGACTGTTTTATTTGGTTTTCTTTTATTTGTGATGTGTATTCACACCTGATATTCCGGTTCTTTGCTTCCTTAGTGCGGTGTGATGCTTGTGGTCTTTGGGTCTGGTGTGGTCCTGTTCTCTTAGTGATGATATCTGTGGGTCTTAGCTGATTGTTGCTGGTGCTTGGTTTACATCGTGCTGATCGCTTCGCTGGTGCCCTATTGCTGCTTGGTTGCCGTTCAGTAAAGCCGCCGGGAAAAGCCAAACAATCACCAGGTCATAACGTCTCAAACAATGCTCCTATTTAGAACAACCAGGGCCGTCACAATCTTTTGTTGTGATCAGCCCGACCCCCCCCCCCCCCCCCCACGAGTGTGGAGAAGTAGTGGAGGTAAGTTAGACTGCAAAGGAGAGAGGTAATTTGCTCGAATGTACCAGGAGATTTGATAGTTAGGTCGGAAGAATGAGAGTGACAGATAGATTGAGATAGGTGGCTTCTCGACGCAGGAACTTCTGGTGGGTTAAGATCTCATGGTCTGAAATAAAACTTTGTCCTACTCACACACAGTACATAAATAGGAAGTCGGCGTTTGTGTCTTAGGCGTTGCGAACGAGATTCGTAATGCCGGGGTGAAGGGCTCGATCCCAGCTGCAGCCCTCCCTCCTTGCGTTGGTTTCGACCTGATTTTGAGAAGCCGACCGTCCAGTAAGCAATGGCAAACTACTGGAAGCAAATTTGACTATAAAAACCACAACAGCTAAAAATGCTGAAGTTGGTTGTGCAATGTTTTGTAAAGAATAGGGAGAGAGACGGAGGGCGATCTGGCATAATCGGGGGCAATGAAATCGATCCTCCCGAACTTGACTTTCTTTATCTTTAGATATATTTAAAAGTGATAAACTAAATCTCATTCTTGATGCAACACAGGCACAAGAATTGTCTTTTTCTATTTTTCTAACCAGCCCCACTTGAAATAGACCCCATAGTGCGTCTATGATTGTGAATCTGATACATGCAACAATATACTACAACACTGATAATAATAATGGCGATGACGAGGTCGATGTTGTCAGTGATGCTGGTGTGGGCAATGTTCGAAGGTGATGCCATCTAATTTGATAATGACAAAGAGGATACCCCACACAATGTGGATTTGGAGATATGTAGCACAACATCTTGACACCTGGAGATTCTATTTTAGTAAAACACAACAAATAAGTGAAAAACCACTTTTCAAGGAACCCCTCATACGCCCCCACCCCCATAATCATCATCCTCATCAAAATCATCATCATCATCATCATCACGAGCCCTAACGATGTACGTTCGTGGTCGTGTTTCAGTATCTCACACGATCAAGAGAATCACGGATAACGTCAGTGCTCTTGTCTCGTCCCATCTGTGTGGCCAGTCTATCCTAGTTTTATTCTCTTTGCCTTTTCCGTACTCTTTTTCCATCAATCTTTTCAGCTGTAACCACATTTTCGAGTCCACTCTTTCTCAAAATGTATATAGAAAGCACTAGCAGAATAATGTATGTGAATCAATTATATGTCATTTCAAATGTGGGTTTATTTTACTTGGCAGTAATTCTTGTTATTAAATTTCATTCTGCAACCTGGTAGCCCAGACGAATAAACGGAATATCACCTCGATGCGATTTTAACACATCGCAACAGAGCTAATCCCTGCCTAACACGGTCACCAGGTAATATATGGAGAATTAAAGGCGGCCTGCCTGATGTTCACCTCATCACCCACTGAAGATCATTTGGTCTATCAAAGTATGAGTCTATCACATAAAAATGCCCGATTCGTTCTGCCGTAAAGACAGGGACTGCACAGTTGATCAGCAAGCCTGGTTGCCACTGGCGTAAAGATAGGGACTGCACGGTTGATCAGCAAGCCTGACTGCCACTGGCGTAAAGATAGGGACTGCACGGTTGATCAGCAAACCTGACTGCCACTGACGTAAAGACAGGGACTGCACAGTTGATCAGCAAGCCTGACTGCCACTGGCGTAAAGATAGGGACTGCACGGTTGATCAGCAAGCCTGACTGCCACTGGCGTAAAGATAGGGACTGCACGGTTGATCAGCAAGCCTGACTGCCACTGGCGTAAAGATAGGGACTGCACGGTTGATCAGCAAGCCTGAATGCCACTGGCGTAAAGACATGGACAGCACAGTTGATCAGCAAACCTGACTGCCACTGTGCTACCCATGTTTCAGATATTGACTTCAATGTGACATCTTTCTCTATTTCCAGGCTACGGGATTACCCGGGAAAGGAGTCATCTTCTCAAGTGGGGCGCTGTGGAAGGAGCAAAGGTCTGTCAGTCTGTCCATCCTTAGAGCTTTCGGAATGGGAAAGAATCTGTTGGCCGAGAAGATTCAAGAAGAAGTGGATTACTTTATACAATATCTGTCCAGTCTGAAAGAGAAACCAGCAGACATTAGGATTATGACCAACGTAAGCACATCCAACATTATTTGCTCCATCTTGATTGGCCATCGGTTTGAGTACGACGACAAACATTTCCAGAGTATGATGCATAAACTTGCTGTTTTAGCCACTGACCAAAACTTTACTGCATTAGTTCAATTTTTAAGCTGGCTTCAATACATTCCTGGAGATTTTTTTAAAGCGAAAAAGATAACTGCAAGTGCTCGCGACATAATAGAGATGCTTGCTTTAATTCTAAATCAGAAAAAACGAAATGTGCAAGACTCCAGCGATGTAGGCAATTTGATTGATGCATACATTACTGAGCGACAGAAGAAACTCGATGCTGGCGTGTCAACTACATTGGATGATCAGAACTTGCTGAAGATCATGTTTGATTTGTTTGGGGCGGGAACTGAGACCACCAGCACGACCATCTACTGGTGCATACTGTATATACTGCACAGCCCAGAAGTGCAAAAGAAAATCTATAGAGAGATCAAAGACAACATAGGAACCGATCGAACTCCGACCATACAAGATAAAGTCCACCTGATATATCTGAATGCTGTTATAATGGAAACCCAAAGATTGGCCAGCATTGTGGCGCTTTCAGTAGCCCACGCGTGTTCTGAAGAAGTCACTCTGCGAGGCTACACCATACCTAAAGGAACCTTAATCCTTCCCAACCTGGACTCTGTCCTCCACGATAAGGCCACTTGGGGAGAGGACGCCATGAGCTTTAGACCCGAACGATTTATCGACAACGACGGCAAGTTGAAGAACCCTGAACAGTTTATCCCATTCAGTATTGGACGTCGTGCTTGTTTGGGCGAGAGTTTGGCCAAGATGGAATTGTTCCTGTTTCTGGCCAATATGTTTCAGAGATTTGAGTTCCTACCGGCATCTCCAGGTCGCCTTCCTCCAACAGACTACAAGGTGGCAGTTGTCATGACTCCAAAGCATTACGAGGTGCGAGCTGTTGAAAGAAAATAAAGCTGTAGCTGCGACAATGCAACCTTTGATCAATATCATTTTTCAAAATGCACAAATGTCAGTTATAACTTACAACAGCTGACTCAGATATTACGGAGAATATCCTTGACTTTGCTAAGCTAGATATCAAGTTTAAAATAGACATTCTTGCTTGTTTGAATTTTCTTCACCGTTAAATCCTTTCTGACAAAGAAACATTGCTCAACATATTTTCTGTAGTTTAGAATCTTACCGCTGGACTACCGTTGCCACTGTAACTATTCTACTTGAATGATGGGAAATCCCAGGAGGTTTCCAGTCTGACGTATGTAAGGTCAGAAAGCCAGATAAACGAGAAAAGCATGGAACAAGTGTGTTTAGAATTGCCCGTGTGTGGATGAACGGTTCTAGTAAATACCCGTGCCACTGAGACAAAGATTTTAAGGTGAGAATGGAGGTAAAGTTAGCTGGTGTGTGGCCGCGTGTGTGTGTGTGTGTGTGTGTGTATGTGAGAGAGAGAGAGAGAGAGAGAGAGAGAGAGAGAGAGGTTGTTCGTATGGAGTGATTGCGGTAAATTTTGATTGTCAACTGAGGGAGCAAGGACTTAGAATGTAAAGGATGCCTGAACAAAACTGACACTAAATTATATCCACAAGCGACTGTGAACACCCGTCAGGCTGTGATCCAGATGCAAGATTCCTGCGTGAAAGGAACTTTCAAATTGAAAGCAAACTGAATCCATTGTCTAGTTTTAGTCCTCTCGTGGCAGTCAGTCGAGACCCAGTTCCAAACGACCACAGACAACCTAGGACAACGACTAAATGACTCATTTGTTATACCACAATAAACTGTATCAATTTCATCGCCGTCTTTAGACAAAATTTCTGTGTGTCCATGCTTTACATGCGGCGTACGTGGCTTAGGCTTTGCAAGTCCGACTCGGAATCCAACGTACGCGATCGAAACCCACTGCTGGCTGCGTGGATTTGTATCATGGTATGGGGCGTCGACCAGCCTAAAATGGGTACCAGGATGGATGTCCTGGGAAAGTATAGACTGCTTACCACATTACCCACCCAGTGCCGATTGGTCTGTAAAAATATGGGAGGCTCTTGCCATATACCCGATGCGCCTAAGGCGTGAAAAGGGATCTTTACTTTAGCTTTACATCATAGAAGAGGTAAGTAAGTATAAGGCCGTAGAGCAGCAATATCACAAACAACACTGCTGCTGTTGAATGATATGCTTCTACTAGATCCTCAACTACAGCAACCACTATAAAATGTTGATACTGTAACTGTTGTCATTGTACAATTTAAAAAAAAAAAAAAAAGCTTTTTAAGCACACCATCTTGATGGCAGATCATGGTGACGAAATACCGCGGTGATGTAAACATTAACTGTTGTTGAATCTGCACATGCCTGCCGATGTCTGAGATGGATTATTCCGATAACAACTCTCATGTGCTTCAAATTCGGACTTATTATTACTTTTTTTTTTTTTTTTACTTCTCTAAGTTCACTTTGCTTCCCAGGTCGTCTGATGTAATATAGGTAACATGCAGTGTCATTGGAAGTAAAGGCGACTGTGTGATATCACCAACATCCGTAATCTAGTGTCGATTTGATTCTTTCAAATGAATCTTCTATGTCTGATGAGCTACGGGTATAAAAAAAATTGTATACTTTATTGACTCCTGTACGGCCAGTGTCTTCATGTATACATATAATTTGACTATTTTATTTACTCTTTTTTTACGAGTTCACAGCCTGTAAACTTCGGGGGAAAGATCTGATTTTTCGCCTCGTTCTGGACCCTGATCTTGTTTCAGAACTTGAGTTTTGCGTGCACATCTATTTTACAGGCTTAGCTTTTTTGTAAGCTCACTGTACTATTGGTTCTTGCCTCTCAGACAGATGAACTTCGTCTTCAAAGGGAAAACTCCTAATAGCCGACCCTTACGTTCGGGGAAGTGGGTCTGTTCTTCTTTGTCCTTCAAATGGGGTCCCGGAACCCCACGGCGAGGGCAACTTTATTTTATATACGGGGAAAAAATTGAGGTCACTTATCTAAAATGTATGTGTAAATAATGAGACAGGCATTTTATTTCGATTTTAAAATTAAAAAAAAAAAGCATTAGCTTTATTTGATTAACAATGGTTCTCTTCCCTAGCTAGACTGTTGGAAGACTGTCCTTGCACTTCTTTTATCAGAGATGATGTCTTCCGGTGAAGTTATTTGAACTAAGGATTTTAACTTCGGGTATTTTGGCTGCCTGAAATACTGAAATACTTCTGTGCTTATGTTTTGGTTAAACTGAGTAAAATGAGATGACATGATTATGGGACATATGATCTCTGGTAGCTCATCTTGACTCGTCTACTGTGGTCACAGCTTCACTCACATATTGGCTTTTTGGCGAGCGTCTCGGTTACAGAAAACTGTCATGTCTGCCGAAACACATTTAACGCAGTTGTGTAATCCTGCAATAGAGAGTGAAATGGTGTTATAAGTGTTTATAAATTTACATATTTACATAGTTCATTTGAATCTATACTGGTAATTACTTTGTACATGTTACTGTCACGACATTCATTTCATTATGTGCACCACAATATATGTTTATAGAAAAAAAAACGAAATAAATACAAGTATTATGTTCAGAAATATTGTTTGTGATTGATCGTGTGTATACGATATCGTATGTGTACATGGCATGTTACACTTCTAAAGTCCGATGCTCTGAAAGCAGGACATGAAAATAGTGGCCCAAATGCAGCATTGAAGACAAAACTTCAGAACATTAATACTTGGAGACATTCAAAGAGCATCCCTGTCTGGGTTCTGGGGTCCTATTATAGGGAAAACAAGAATAGACCCACTGCCTACCCAAAAGCATGTCGTAAGAGTTGACTAATTGGGAGCTTCCTTCGAAGTCGGAGTGCATCTGCCTGAGAGGCAAGGAACCAACAGTCTGCATACAAATTAGTCAGATCTGTCAAACGATTGCACACGCAACACTCAGGTTTTGGAACAGGACTCCAGTCCAGAAGTGGATGAACAACTAGAGCTTACCGCCGGAGTTTACAGCTGGTTAACCCGAAGAAGAAGAAGATTCAAAGAGCCATCCTTGGCCGCCAGAAATTAGACTGAGCTAATCCAGTAAAGAGTGGAACCCACCGATCAGAGGGTCATAGTGTGCTGTTCAAGACTGTCTTCTTGTATGATGTATCAACCAGCAGACAACCAGTGGAATGTGTTGCTCAGCAGCGGTTTTTTTTCTAGATTGACAACATGTTTGAGCTCATGTAAGCTTCTAGGTTTATTTGTTAGTCTAAGACAACGAAGGTGTTGAAAGCTGGGGCTCAGGAAACATGGTCCCTGGAAGAAAAAACAAACAAATCTGTTTAAAAAAAGGGGGGTAGATGGAGGCTAGAGGTTGGGGAAGGGGAGCTAGCCCTTCAATACTTTTTTTAAAGGAGTTAAAGACTCCTCCCCCCTCCCCCTCCCACCCTCTTGCCCATCATCATCATATATAAACGTTGTCTGTTTAACCATAAACACATACATATAATATTATTTCAAATATATTATTTTTTTAGCCATTTAAAATATAATCATAATAATGATAATAATAAAAAATAATGTTAACAAATAAAAGCATTTCCCAATTAAACAAAGTCAACACCCCAACACCCCCCTCCCCGACCCCGAAGTGGGGGTGAGAAGAGTTTCAAAGACGTGAACTTCACCACCGCTTCCGTCTTCACTCCTCCTCCCACCCACCCAGTAATATTAAATAAACATGACATTAATAATTATTATTTCTAGTGTGGCTCCAAGCATAGTAGCCGACTTGTTTGTAAGACTGAGCACCTGGTGCCACTACCTGGTTACTTACACACAGACACTTCAAGAAACATTTTCTTTTGAAAAAGGACATGTGTCAATTCTAGGACTAGGTTCTCTTGCCATACGGAGTCAACATATTTTTGGCAATGACATGACACACACACAAAATATATTCACAGAACATTATGCCAATAGCTATGAAATGCTAGAAATAAGGTATACTGACGAGTCAGGCATTAACCGAGACTCTATGGTCCAAATTTATGAACAAAGTCAAAATAACATATCTGTCAGTTTGTATCTGTCAGTGCATGACCTTTTTCGAAGCATACATCAATTTAAAAAATACACCTTTCCTGGGCAGACAAGGTGGGTGAAAATTAGGAGGGTGGGGGCGTAGTGGGAGATGGGGGAGCTACCGACAGAAGCAAAATATCTATAACTAATCAAGTGTTTTCGGCTTATGCCATTTTAAAGAATTTTTAAGCCCGGCCCGCTAGCGTAGCTGGCTAAACCGGATTGCGCGTTGACCGAGTGACGAACTCCTTGTGGTTTGGGTTCACGCCCGGGGGTACGCAGAAAAGCCACATTTCTCCCAGATTTACGGTATTTATCGTGGAATCAAGGCCGAAGGGTTGCGATATCCATAATACCGAGCCTAAGGGTTAATAACTCATGGATTCTGGATACTAAAAAAAAAAAAAAAAGAATTCTAAAATGTTCACCGACTCCGAGAGACGTAGGTGTTTCAGAAAACGAACAGACAAACACACTGGTTCTGAACCACTTGGTGGCAAATTGTTGTATGAAATTGTTATCATGTTCGTTTGTGATCGAGTGAGCAATACAGAGACACAAATAGGTCATCTCGGTATAAAGACAGTCTTCGTCATCCCACTTCTAGAACGCAATTTTTCTTTGTTTTGAGGCCCCACCCTGGCTGTTGCTGGGGGCCGCAATGTGGCCTGATGGTTGGACGCGGTTTCTCGGACTTCTCCACGGGTGACCTCGTCCTCTTGGTGGCACTTTGTTTTACCGGGTGTTTGTCGCTCTGTGTAATGTCCTGGTGTGGTGAAACTCACTTACAATAAAGACAGTGCTGTTGTGGGGATTAATCAAGCGTCTGGCTGACACTCAGGGGAATGCCGAGACGGATGCACAGGTACTG